TAGTATACTGTGATATCACAAAGCCTTTTATATCCCCATTGTACAGAAGCAGAACCGAGACAGTGGAATTTAACTGACTTGCTGAAAGTCATCCAGCAATTTCATGTCAAACGAAGGAGAAGCCGAACTCAGAAACTCCAGGCCATTGCTTTGGCCATTCTCGCTCGTTGTTTGCAAACATCCCTCGTGGCAGTGGTTACCTCTGTGCCACAGCTCGCCAAGATGTCAGCATGGCTCTTACTGCAATGCACAGTATTCCCTCCTGCGCCCAACCCCAAATGTTTGAATCACCTGAGACAGGGAATCAGTGTGTGCCTGTGCTGTTAAAGGTGTTCATAATTCACACAGCTAGGACAGGGTTCAAGTTGTGAAACAAATCTTAACCATCTGAACTTTAAGAGCTTCTGTAACATAGTTTTTGCAAACTCAACTTTTGATTTAATAGGATTTCTCATGCTTTTTAAAAGAAACCTTAAGAAAAATACTACATTTCATCAGATGTAACTATCTAGTAAGTCATTCTAGAATATGTGATCTGTAGAATATATGCAGTCCAGGAAAAACGGTGCTTCTCTGTCATTTAGTGTGCATGTCCCTAGGAGCTTTTGTATACGAGCAGGTACAAAGTCAGGCTCACCCTGCTGGACCAGGGCCCGGAGCTTCAGCCCAGAAGTCGCTTAGCTTTGCTAGAGCGACGCGTAGAGCAGACCAGTGAACCTTCCGGAGGTTATCCAGAGGATACATTGAGGGCAGAGCGTGGTGGCTGGGCCCGACGCTCAACTACGGTAGTTACCTGCCGGCTGGGCTGTCACTGGCTTGAATTTAGCCAGTTGGTGGAGTGGGAGATTTCGGTTCACTCAGCAGTAGTCAGTTAGATTGGCTTTGTATTTTATAAAGTTGAAGGAACTGGGATTCCTGTGGAAGTACCCATAGATGCAAAATTCCCAGCTATACCACCTTGTTAGGGACTTTGCTCTGGCTCTGAGACTTTGTACGGTTTAAGAAGTTTCCATTCGGTTCTTATACATGTGAAAATACTTTGGTTAAGTGTTTAACATGGCTTAGAATGTATGAGATGTGGTTTTATCTGTTGCAACTGTAACAAATTAAATGTGATTTTTGACAGGTCTGGAAGATCACCTCTGTGATTTTGAGGCCGTTCAGAGCTGCTTAGGGCTGCTGCCAGTCCCATTGCCAAGTGCCGGTCTTCTTCAACACGGGCAGTTGCAAAACCACTATTTTTTTTTTTTTAACATGCTGATAACACGTGTCTATCTGGGGAAAAAACAGCACCATTTATTATCAGAAACTCTCCGTTTAATTATAAAAGTCATTTAGTTCATTCATCTCTTTTGTGACTAGAATATATGCCATAAAAAGTAATTGCTTTAATTAATAATAGATTACGGTCTTTAATGTTCTAAAGAATATCTCTATGACGTGTATTTCTAGATGAAATTCCGATTATTTTTTTTTAATGTACATTTGTTGTTGTTTCAGTTAGGATTTTTTCCTCACTAAAAATTCCTGAAAGTTTGTAGAACCTGATAATATAATCATAATGCTGCAAGGCTGATTTTTCCGTAACACCTGCTACTTATAGTCTCCTGAAAAAGCTTGTGAAAATAGAGGCTGTGAAATTCATGCTTCAGAATCACACAGTAAGTTTCCTTACTATGTTAAAACACATTGTGTGTAGTAAATTTTGTAGAACGCTTAACTTTTCGTACGCTTATGTTTCAACAGAGTAAGCACTTCCCTTTCCTGAGTGTCAGTGATAACTACAGCCTCAGTGACCTTAGGTGCCGGACAATGTTCTACACTGCCCTCACTCGTCTTCTCATGGTAGATTTAGGTAAGGTCCTCCTCGCATGTCCCTGAGACACCTCGCCGTCTTGTGTCATTCTAGGAATTTTTAAGGTTATTAAACCAATCAAAGAGCAGCTTAATTGTATAGTAAATATCTTATAGTTAGTATTTAAATCATTGCCTATCAACTTTTGAGATTTACAGCATCAAGCAATAACAGTGTATTTGTTTGTTGCCTTCTGTTGGAGAAATAAGCAGGATGAGTATTTTTTTTTTGCACGGAAGTGCTTTTTGTATTAGCTATGAGGATTTTCAACATTAAGTGCCTAAGTATTTTGCATTTCCAGGTGACATACTGATTATGCCAGAACCTTTCAGCTTCTAGTAGAAGGTTTTTTAATTTCACTTCTTCATGCAAGTTCCCAATGTACAAAGAACCTGTGAGTTTTAATAAGCATTGATGAGAGTTCTGCAGTTCAACCAGCAATACTAAATATGCACTTGGGATTACCTTTAGAGTTCTCCTTAAGAGAGGTTAGATGTGTGTAAAACCCAGTGCACGCTTTATTAGCTAGATGTGATAAAGGACTCGGGTCACTTTGAATCCAGGCGCCGCCCTTGGACACCGGAGTAAAACGCACAACTCCGTCTGCATGATCCCGTTGTCTAAACGGGGAAGGCTGGGCTGGGCCAAATGAACACTGAAACAAATGGTACGTTAAAGAAGCTGATGGTGAAGAATGCAGCACGTCTCAAATTGCCTCCGATCAGAGGCCCCGTTCAGAGTTGTGGGCTTATGCCTGCGAGGATCTGCCTTACAGACCGCTCTTGCGAGGAGGGGTGCCCGTAGGTGTTCCCGGGGGACCGCTGGTGGGGGCCTTCAGACCGTAAGGCGGCAAGTCTTTAGCGTACTGATTTTGTACGAGGACTTAACTAGGCCACACGTGCACGTGTGCGGGAGAGATTGACAGTCGTAAGCCACCAGGAGTTGTTACTCCCCTTGCTCATAACGGGTGCCTGTCCTGGCTGCTGCTGAGCGGAGCGGAAAACGGTTAACTGTGAGGCAAGGCTGATCCGTATATATCGGCTTTTTCTTAAAGAAAGGCTGGAGAGCTGGACCTGCATTTACTTGCAGTTAAACTGCAAGTACTGCTCGGTACTGGCTCAGTGTCATATAACATAAGCAATAGGTACGTTTTCTAATATACAATGGGCTACACGTGCAGTTTCAGTAACTCATCCTACAAGGAAAAAAAATTGGTACAAACGAGATCACAGGTATTAAAAATTACATCTCAAAGTAGAAATTGTGTAATTATCTGTCGGCCAAAATGCAGACACGTAACATGACTGGCTACAAGCTGATAGAGGTGGTTTTGATTCCTCTGGATTAACAGTTCTACAAGATCAGAAACGATTAGGAGTATCTGGAAGAAGCATACATCACTCTTCTGGCTATTGTCCTTTGTGTGTGAATAAATTTGGGTTTGAACTGATAGAAAAGCACATCTAGAAGCACGAACAGCTGTAGGTTGCGTTTTAGGATCCAAATTTAAAAAGTAAGGTGTACACAGACTGTCCTTTCTATGTGGTTTTGGAGCATTAAATGGCAGTATTCTTACCTTGTGAATCAACAGATATTTTTCAAACTGTGCAAACTGGCATTTTTAGACATTTTTAGTCAAAAAAGCATTGTACCAACTGTATTCTCTCTTTTTTTTTCAAATTAAATGAAGAGCTTTATATAAAATTCTTTTATATAAATGATAAACAATTTATGTGGAAACAAAATTAAGATTGATTTTTTTTTTTGGTGGGGGTTGTTTTAAGTATTTGTTTGATGTAGAAATATTTGCGGAGATTAGCTGAATACAGTAAATTCAGAACATCTACATTTTAAACAATGTGCTGTTGCAGTGACTGGCAAAATTTAATTGTGGGAAAAAACAACAGTAATATATTAATTGATATTTGCTTCAAAATGCACTTTGGTTTCTGTTTAATTACTTTAACCTCATATGAATATAATTAGACTTTGAATTCCTTATGTGCCCCAGGTTGTGGTTTTAATAATTTTTTTGGCATTTAAAATTGCATCATTTTGTCCAAGATTCTTAGTCCAGGATTTCAAAAGCAAACTGAATATTTTTTTGTGTGAAGTCTATAGTAACAAAACTAATGTAAGAACACCAGCAACAGTTATCTTTAAATAAAAGTTTTTACTAGGATTTATAAATTTAATCACTTTTTCTTCTGCACTACCAAAAGGAGTAGATCTAAGCGGTAGAAGATCCCTTGGGGAGCTATTCAGTATGATTTGTCAGTGTCCTGTACTTACAGGTATGTGCAGTCATGCTCAGTGCCAAACCTCTCCAAGTGAAGCAAATTTAAAACACCGTTGCTGTAAGCCACACACTGATCTACTATAACCTACAAGTGGGGCATCTCTTGTCTTTCAGAGGACATAATAAGGATGTGTATGTATAGTTTGAATTATAGAAAATGAACAATGTACCATGGTAGGTTTGTTTACGATAGTTTCTTCCTTTCCTTATTAATACTGCACTGTTCATGGGATGAGAATGTGGCTTGTACAGGAATCCAAAAGAAATCTATAGTTAGTAATCTGTTTTGCTCTTTTGAAAACTTATATATTATTTTATTAGTAGGGCAATACTATATAGGATACTAATTGTATATTCGTTCTTCGCTGCCTACACTGAAATTTGAAACAGAAATAGCGCTCAAGATTTCCCCTTACCTCATTTCCAGAACTAGCTGGTTTGTCATTAAAGTGTTGGTCCTAGTCAATGTTGGATATTCTGGTAGCTCTTTGGTCTTCTCAACTTTTTTAACAATGTAAGCTTGAGATTCTGCCTTCAGGAAGGGTTCAGCTTGAATTTGGATGTGCGTATAGTATCTTCATGGAGATTGTCTTCTAATGATACGCAGCACTCGAGATGAAATGGAGTATTACTTTTGCTATGTTGTGATAACTTAGGGTTGTCCTGAGAACTCTGTAAACAGCATTTGAGCCCTGATCCTGCATAGAGCGGTATCCAGATGACTTCTGTTAGACTGTACGCTAGCATGGGACAATACCAGCACGGGACTCTTTCTAAAGGATTGGTCTTTTTTTTTTTTTTTTTTCTCGGAGGAAAATCTGATAAGCAATTAAAAGGAGAAAAACATCAGAATATGCAATGCATGTAGAAATAATTTAGCTCCTAGGAGCTAATGCTGATGCTGGTTGAGCGAAGACATTGTGAGCACAGGAACTAATACTGTATTGGAACTGCCTGAGGAGTTGGAGTTGGCAAAGGAAGGAGATAGAAACAAAAAGCTGAATGAATAGTCTGGGGTTGCTGTGAGTAATCGGAAGAAGATAAAAACACTGACTCTGGTTAAAAGCAGCAGAGAGAAGATTGCAGAGGAGACAGGCAAAGATGGACAGAATTGGATTTTCCTAAAGTCCACTAGATCCTATTGGTGCCAGCAGTAGCTCTGAAATCTGGCACAAAGTGTCTCACCCTCTTCAGTTCTGCTGCAGGTGCAGGATGCACGTCACAGATTTGGTCAGTTACTTCGCTGATTTAAGAAAGTTCTTGAACACAGATTGTGATTTAAAGGCTCCATAGCTATGGCTGATCAGTGCAGTATCAGTAAGTTACTGAAAGTATTCCCTTTGTTTTTAAAAAAAGCACCTGGAAAAATGGGCACGAAAGCCCTTTATGAAAGGGAAGCAGTTCAGGTCACAACCTATTCAGATCTGAGGAAATGCTATAATTGGGATTGCCTCTGCAACTTTCCCTTTCTCTCCATTGTAAATATTTACATTGTTATGAGGCAGTTTTAATTGCAGGATCACAATTATTTCTGTCAGAGGATATTTGCCCCTTGCAGTTCAGAAGATGTGTCATCCTGGCTTAATGAGAAGCAAATGAGTATTTTGAATTTTTTTTTTTCCTGTGTTGTCATCTGGATTTATGTGTTAGTCCATGCTTTGCTTTCTGTTGTGACTGTTTTTTCTTCCCAGCCTTTTTTCATGTTGGCCTTTTCTGTCATTCTTACTGCTGTACTGAGGTGAGTGATGTGGGTCTTTCAGTATCCCTAGAGAGAAGAGACTGGAAATAGGCCCATTTTACAGATGGGTATGTGGAGTGTAGAAACTAAACTGTAAAGCTTACGCTAACTTTGCACAACCAATTTGACACAGAAAAGACTCCTCCATAACTTCCATTGCAACCTACTTTGCCCGACTTTGCCAATGAAGAGAGAAGGGAGAGAAGCCCTATAGCAAAGAGCTCTTTAAAGAACATAAATTAAGTTCCTACTCTGAATTACTCTCGAGGGGAATCTACATGGGAGAGGCAAGTTACCCTCATTAAGGGCCTAAAGATAAGTAGTGTGAGTCCCAATCCTCATGCAAATTGCCATTTCTAAAAAGTTTTTGTTGTTTATAGTAACTTGTTCAGTGTCATAGCAAAACAAAAACAATCCAGATTACCAGGTTATCTTTCAGCTGTCTAACCAAGACAATCTCTTTTTCCCTACCCACAACATCTTGTTTCTTTTACTCTAAATTCACACCTTCTGAAACAAATGAGGCGATAGTGTTACACAAATAACCCCACCACAGTCCAGATGTATTTCCACAGCAGCTTCATTCTGTATACTAAATAGGTAGGCAGTAGAAAAAAGATCGGAAAAGATTGTGATTTAAACATCATACTACAAAGTACACCTGTGAAAGGGTCTAATTTATTGTTGCAGTTTTAAATCGAACATGTTCTAACTGTTGAGTCTTGACTTTCTTATGTGAATATTCTTCTAGGGTACCGAACAAATGCTGTCAGATTAACAGAGAAAACAGAAATATGAAAAGGAGAAAAATGTGAAAAGCGGAGACATGCCAGTCTCAGATACAAGTTGTTTGCGGTCAACAATTTGTCATCTTTGTTCATAGTAGTAAAAATATGTCAAACCTCCGGTTTTTGTTCCTGTAGGTCGTAGGAAAGTTCCCATGATGTCAGTGAGATTTTTCTATAAAAGCCTAAGACACTGACCCTTCCAAACAACAGTGTGAGTGTGATGTGATGATGCTTTTGCTGTTTTGTTTTGGTTTCTTTTCCTGTAGGTGAAGACGAGGATGAGTTTGAGAATTTCATGCTCCCCCTCACAGTTTCGTTTGAAAGTGTGAGTCAGATATTCAACAGTAGTTTTGAACAAGAAGAAGCAAAGGTAGGTTTATTTCAATTATAGGGAAAG